GACTCATAGTGATTCTCCTGTTTACAGCCTCCCAAGAGCTGGGATTACAGGTGTGTGCCACCACCCCCAGTCTCAATTGCTGTCTCAGTGTGCCTTGGGGGGGGGCAGCATGGCAGGTTCAGGGATCGAACCCTGGCCCTTGCTTCTGCTTGCAGGCGCTTTAACCCACTGAGCTATTTGGCTGCCCTCTAACCTATGTTTCTTTATAACTTCCAAGACTCTTCTGAGCCACAGATGCTGATTTCCAACCAACATAAAGCGGAGTGCTTTGCATCACGTGTTTTTTCCTTTTATCACATGGAAGAACTCACTGGCCATGTTTGTGTTTTAAAGCTTTGCACCTCAGCTATTCCCTGTGCCCAGCAGAGGCTCAGTGATGCCAAATATTGGCACTTACCTTGGCTAACCCTGCCTGCCAAGCCACCCGAGCAAATCTGGGCAACTTGGCTGAGCAGCCTCTACCAGCTGTTAAGTCACAGAAAACAATGTTCTACCCTCCACTTGACCTGAGGAACAGCCGCCACGGAGTGGGCAGAGGTTGGCACAGTGGAACAGTCTCCACTGTGTATCTTGTTTACTCTGTCTGCAAGGATCCATGTTCAATGCCAGCCCCGGTCTGTGTAGAGCCACAGCATGGCACAGATGGCAACAACTAACATGGAATGAGCATGCTGGCAGGGCCCTTGACCTAGAGTTAACACACATGGCCACCCTGTGTGGCAGGACAGCCTCGGAGGGGTTAAGTGTGACCAGCAGCATTTAAACTTGATCATGAACAAGTCAGAAAGAGGCTCCTGCATGTGAACTGTCAGCTGCAGGGACTGGATGTTAGTGTTTTACAGGCTGCAGGGAAGAGGCACTCACCAAAGTGACCTCTGTTTCCAAGCATTACTAGAAGGATGGCTTGTAAGAGATCACCAGCCTTGATTTTTCCCACAGTGAGACTCCCTGCCTCCCTCTGCTGCTGGAGGGATGAAGTAAGTGAATGTGTGCAGAATGCTCAGACAAGGCTGCGCACAGCAGATTTGCAGCAATTGTCCCCGTTACCTGCACCCTCACCACACCGCGAGGTGGCAGAGGTCATGGCAACTGACGATCTACAAACATGGAAACCGAGGCACAGCAAGGTTAAGCTCTTCCATGCCTGTGCCAAGTTCACAGGGGAGTTGGGCATGGGGACCTAGGATGAGGAATTTAGTGTGGTGAGCATGAAGAGCCAGGTGAGTCTGGCACTCTTTTGAGGTCTTCCTTGCGCTCTAGCCACAGCGATCAGATCAGAGGTACCTGCTGTAAGAGAAGGTAATGGGGATATGCTGCTAGACCCCTAGACTCTTTTAGGAACTTTGACTATGAAATACCCAGAAGGATAACTCAGAGAACACAAGTAGTGGTCTCCCCAGCCACTCAGGCATGGCATCTTTTGTTTCACGAATCCTCATAATCAACCCTACGAACAGAGATAACTGTAGTTGTGCCCTTGTTTCTGACATTCTGGAGAACACTGGCATTTGGTGGGAACTTGTTATGGCTTGTATCCAGAGGTGTGTTTACTAAATGAGGCCACTGATTGATTTGGCATAGTTCTGGGTATGGATAATGAAAAGCCCACCCTAGGTGTGAGTGATGCCTTCCCCAAGGGCTTACAGCATGGATAGAAAGGGAGAGACAGAAAGCTATTCATTGCTTCTGCTATTGCTGCTTGCTGCCTTCTGCCTTCCCTGCTTTGCCATGGACTCTTTCTCCCCTACAATGCCCCTCTGCCATGCCACCCTGCCTTGGAGTCAGCCAACCATGGACTGAAATGTCTACAATTTATGAGGTACAATAAACCTTTCTTCCTTTAGCTTTGGGTGTTGGGTATTTTGTCTCAGCAATAAGAAAAATCACTAAGACAAACCTTCATTCTGTACAAGATCATCCAGTGGTATTTGAGTCACCCTGCCTAGAATATGACTACAAATGTTGATTCCCAGTACCAGCAGACAGAACTTGGCCCCCGTCCTAACCAAAGAGCGCTGCGTGGAGAAAAGAGACCTCAAGAAAATCATTTCCTATCATCTGCACTGAATTCACGATTTCACTCTTTTAGTAGACACCCAGTTTTTGGGAATCATCATTCCTTTTTAAACATATGTATTTCAAAATAAATGGCCCAGCTTTCTGCAAGTGGGTGTTGCAATAACATCAGATTAGATTCCAAAAGGATCTGACTCCAGTTCCGAAAAGCATTCTTTAGCTATGAGGCAGAGGCTAACTTAGGGTTTCAACCCAAAGCTGTGTTTTTAAAATGATCAGCTCTGTATAGGCAGGCTATCCCGCAGGAGTTTCTTCTGGACATAATTTCCACATAGAGGCTGGAAGCGAATGTAAACAAAAGTTATGCCAGCTTTGAAGGCTGTCTCGATCCCCTTGCTTCTGCCCCTGCGCTGCTCCTACCCGCAGTCTCTTTTCCTTTCTTGAGATGGAAGTTCTCAAAAGCCTTGCTGCTCAGAAACCTTGGTAACCCACAGGAAAAGGGCAGTGACGTCATATACACAGAGACATCTAGCTTGTGAGATACAATTTTCCTGACCACAGGACAGCTTTTGGAGACCTACCCAACCCCTTTCTTTAAGACTAATACAGTGGTATAAATACACTGTTGATGAAATAGCTCAGGTGTTCTGCTTGGGGACCTGCATGACATTTCCCACCCACTTGCTTTGACTCACAAGATGGGAGCAGAGGTGGATTCAGTCACTCTGCAGGGCCAGTAGCTTTAGGCATCAATGCAGAACTCATCAGTGTGCAACTCTCTATTCCTCCTAGTACTAGGGCCAGCACCACTGAGACAGTAGCTGCTCCATCAGCCCAGGGTCACAAGTAGCAACAGTGTGCATAGCTTCTGGCCAACTCCCAGTGGACATTGAGCACTAGCAGGAGATAAAGCATGGCTGTCTGAGCTGCTTAGATTCATGAATTTAATCCACAGCCTCCTTAGTGGAGGAGTTTCACAAGTGATAAACAATTACACTATACGTATCGACATGAACCTCTGTGATATTCAGGGGCAAAGAAACCATGTGGACAACAAGGGCAATCTTTAAACTGTCCAGAAGAAAGGCACAAAGACTAATCCAGCCCAGTAGCAGGAACAGGAAGCTAAGACCAATTCTGTCCTTATACAATAGTGATAAATGCGGCGGGGTTGGGCCGGGGAGATAGCTCAGTAGAATAAGCACTTGCCTGGCAAGCACAAAGTCCTGAGTTCAATCCCTGGTACCACAAAAAAAAAAAAAGAAAAGAAAAGAAAAGAAAAAGAAGAAAGAGAGAAAGGAAGGAAGGAAGGAAGGAAAAAGAAGAGATGACTGGGTTACAACAGCAAGGGATCAACAAACTGAGTCCTTACTCTGTTGCAGGCTACACAACATCCACATTTTCCCCCTCTTTTATTCATTTGCTTTCAATTTCTTAAGGAACCTAACTGGAAAACATACCCACTCTCCAAGCCTCTGCCAATCAGGCAACTCCAGGCAGTCTCCACTGGAGAACAGGGAGTAGATGGCAGAAGCAGTGGTGACTACTGGATGCTTCTATCCCAAAGCACTTAATCCCTCAGAATTTCCAAGCAGAAAGGAAAGGAATTAGTCCTATTGTACCCCCTCTCTCCCCATCTCTCTTCTCCCCTCTCCCCTTCTTCTTGAGTGCTTCCCAATCTCTTTCTTGGAGAAACACCATATAATTAGGACCCCAGACACACAGACACTGCCACCTGCCCACAAAGAAAGGAATGCAGACACAGCTGACGAAGCTTTAAGGGCGGGACTGCTAAGGGCAGACACCCTTTCACAGCAACACTGCACTCCTCAGAGTGGGTGCCTCCTTCCTGTGCTCTAGGAGCAGTGTTCAGAGTGCCTGGAGGGCTGCCACCTACACTGCACGAACCCTTACCCTCTAGATAGGAATGAAGAGGAATGCCATCCAACACAGCCATGTTGGACATGAGGAAACTGAGGCTCTCAGCAGGGCAGAGGCTGTTCTGGATCACACAAAACTAGAACCCACCCCTCCTGACACTGAGACAATCATTTCTTTTGTTTACTTCTAGCTAAGCAGGCCCTGGGCAGCAGTCTTCCACCATGTCCCAGCAGGGACTGACACTGTCAGAATGGGGAAAGGCCAGGGTAATTCCTGACCACTGGAATTCCTGTTTCAAAGGATGTGGTGCTTTCTTTTCTAAATTGACTATTTTCTTTCATGCCAATTGATAGTGGCAGTGAAAGCCAAAGACTCTACAGCCAGGCTACCTGGTACTGATCACTGTGTGATTTGGACAAATAACCCTACCTTCTAGGCTTCCACGTCCTTATCTGGGAAATGCAGGTAATAGCAACACCCGTCTTATAGGATCACCTTCAGAGTGCAATGAGTTCATATACACACAGGGTTTAGAACAGCATCGTCACAGAGTAAGCTCTGATCATGCTCTACTTGACAGTAGTCTGGGGTCAACTCTGAGGCCCTGCAAGTGACACCTGGAGATGGTATTTATCTGGTCACCCACTGCATCTATAGCACACAGGTGATGCTCAATGAAACCTGTCCAGTGAATGCCTCTGGCTCCAGGCACTGCCCACTGCAGGGCCTTTGGTGTGCATTTCCATAATTCACAGGCTCACTGGAAAGGGAG